CTCGTCGGTCTCGAACGCGGACTCGCGTCCTCCCTGTCGACGTGCAACTCGTTCGAGCGTCTCCCTGGCGACGTTGAGAGCAACACCGCGCCGATCGCGAACGCGTCGACGAGAGGACCCTGCAACACAACAGCACCGAGTTACTCTGAGCATCATCACGCGGAGCAGTGAACGCATGGTTCCAGGTTGCCACGCCGCCCTCTGCTCCTTGATCAAGACGGAGATCTACGCGCTTTTCGGCGACGAAAAGTCAGGAGTTTTCGAAGTCTACATGCCTTTCGCCGGGCCTTTTTCTTCAGAAGACGACGTATTCTGTTCATGCGCCACTCGCAGCGCAGCACTCGGACTCGCCTTACTACGGTGGTCTCGACGTTCTCGCATGGCTCATTAGTGCCGCCCCGCGTCCGCCAGTCTCTTACTTCGCGTCAATCCGCCTTAATCGGTATGACCCCAGCTCGTGTAGCCTCTTGTTGCAGCACGCGCCGCTGGTATTCGACCCGGTGAACTGTGTTCGCATTTCTCTGGCATTTCTGATCACTCGCGAGGTTTTCCATCGGCCACGGCGATTGCGTCATCTACAGATGACGGTTCATTCGAGCGCAACGCACTGAAGGCACTCTGTTGGCTCTTCTTCGCCGGTTACCGCGGACAACCGCACTTTCTTGTCCCCGCGCTCGAGCTGAACATGATCCAAGAGTTCGTGGAGGCCGGGTTCGGTACCCCGTCGCCCATGCTTACTGTTGTCGGATCAACACTCAAGGAGCTCGAACGCCACGTTACGAAGGGTCCCAAGGCGTTTGTCGTCACTGACACGGTCTTATTGCGAGGCCAGTGCGCTTCAGATCACGGCTTACAACACCGAGGATGGTTAGCGCTTATGATCTTGACAGCTTGATCTCATCTATCTTATCTAACATACTCCCTAGGCTCTGACCTCCGCCAGGCATCCGGTCCGCTTACGCGTTCGATCACTGAGCAAGTCTTCACGCACCTCATCCACTGGACTGCCGCTACGGACTTCCCTGCGACCGCGACTCGTGCGGTCGACCTCGGCGCTGGTGGCTTCAACGGCAATGGTCTGCTCACCTCCCGCAACCTGGACGGCCGCGGGTCTGTACGATCGTGCTCGGTGAGAAGGGCAAAAGCAATGCAGAGTCCTAGTCGGTCAAGGACGTACATTTCGCGCAGTCTTGGGCTACGAAGTGGTCGCCTAAGCTCGTGAAGCCGAGGTTCGTATTCTTAACACATTTCACATGAAATACGAGACCAACTTGCTGCACAACGACGGCAAGCTTCATCTCGACATTCCTTACACGCATGTCCTCGGCAAGCCCCGGTAATCGTCGCAGGTCCTCCTCGCTGGTAATCACATGGAGCTCGCGGGTGCTGGCCACTACTCACCCGCTGCACTCCGTGCGAAGGACACCGAGATCCAGAGTAAGACCTCAACCAGCGTCGGTATCACCCTTGACACGCTGTACATCAACCTACGCCAGGTCGGCTTTCAGTCCCCGCTCCGGCAGGAGATGCGCAAGGAGGGCCTGCGATTGAAGGTTTCCGCGTCGCTGCCGGTATCCCGACCATCGAGAAAGCTGTGGGGATCATTGAAGATCATGAGAGCACTGGTACCCATCCCGTCTCGTTCAAGCCCAGTCGAGGGTGTCCGCCAGGTCGTTGATATCGCCGCGGCGAAAGTGGGTGGCCACTACAGCCACAAGGACCTCCGCCAGCCGATCGTGCAGATCTGCGCGCGTATCCACGCACACGAGAACATCGTCCTCGTCGGTCGCCCTGGTTTTGGCGCTGGCGAGCAGCTCTGGCCGCACTACTCCGGTGAATGGAGTGCTGCTCACGGTCTTCAGTCGATACCGTCGACGGCTTCCTCTCCAGCTCGTGGGCTATGATTGCCACGGAGCGCGAGTGTCGAGGACTTGATTGCCGTTGCGTCTGATGTCGATGACGCTCAATGGCAGGGGGCCTACGCGAAGGAGACCGGTGGGATTCTGACGGTCAGGAGTGAGCTCGGCGTGCCCACTCACAAGGTTGCCAGTCGCGCCGTCAATTTGTGGAAGGAGCCAGACGACACGATGTTCAGGATGCCGAGGGAGAAGAGGGGGCCGTGGTTGAGGGTGGGAAGGGGTGAAATAATCATGCACGTCGCGCGCCGACCGCACACATTCCCGTCTATTCCCGTGCGCCCCTCTCGCAGATCCCTCCTTTCCCTGTTGTTCCTTATGTACCAGCCTAACCTTCATTGGTTCCCCCGCATATGCCTCATCGCACCATTCACTCAGTCCACGGCTCTACGATGTACCCGAACTCGTTCATCTTTCTCTCCGTATCTATGAATCCATTACCTAGCTTGGCCAGTTACCGGTTACCTACTTAAAACCTGTCCAGGCACTGCCCCACCAGGGTTTACCGCGCAGCGACGCGGGATGACGCAAATAATTGATCCGGTCTCGATCTCAACGGTGCCGAGCCGACGTCGAGCAAGCTACAGGACACAACGTGGATCAAGTCAACGCTACATCAAGTACACGCTGAGTGCATAGCCCTAATTGAGTGGAAATACGGTCTCGAGCCAACATGCTTGCCAGTACCGTGCGCGGGAGCCGCGCAAGCAACACCGGGCTCAGCGCATTGCGCCACGAACTGGATTAGTCTCCCGTAGTCAGCCTCTCGTCGCGCTGCTGGACAGAGTCTCGACGCTGATCGTGGACTCAGTCAAGGCGCGACATTCGCTTCTGTTGATTTAATCATATCGCACATGTAATGCAACCGTCGCATCTATTGCACGTTCCCGTGAAACATCTGGTTTATGTACACTGGAGCTCTTCCATTCTAGCAAATATAGTAAAGATTCATAAGCACAGAGAGGCACGGTAGTATTCATAGGCAACAAGCGGGTCGCTTCACGTATACACACGCTTGGACCCCGCACGGACGTGACCTCGCCGCCCGGAAGCACACTCTCAATCTGACGATGCGCGATGACCTTGGCGTAACGACGGATAGGGCTAGTCAAGTGTGTGCATAGCGGCACGTTGAGCGCGAAGCGAATGTATTTGGCCATGTCAAGCATGACGGCGCAGGAATAGTTTGCATAGTGGGTGGCCTTGGATGAGATAAGTTCCATGAGGCGCCTGGCGGCTGGGCCGGAGATCAACGAGAAGAATTGCATGAGCGCGCCGGACGAGGAGATGTCAAACTCGAGACCACGACGCTGAGCGTGCTGGAGGAGGGTATCGAGACAGCGCTCAATCGGCGAGTCATGGCGGCGGAGAAGGAGGACAACGGCTATCTGCTAAGCGCCGCTGATGTTGGCAAGCAACATGAACTACAGAGTTATGAGTATCTCCTGTGAGATTTATTAAAGCATTTCACCTCTTCGATGAGGACATTGGCCTCGAAGCGCTCGTACGCGCCATAGTCAACAGGCTGGTCAGCCTCGTTGGGGGTGAACTTGAGCCGGGAAGAATCCAGGGTCAGCGCACCATTTTGATAATTGGCGAGAGCGGAGGATCGTGGCTAGGTCGCTGAGCGCCTTGACATCGTGCCCGAACCAGCAGCGTCATGCTCCCGGACAGCAAGTACGTCGCCGAGCGGCTTGCCGTCGAGTATGTTCTGTGCGTTCGAGTATGATGGCTTGGCGACGCTCTTAATCAGCGTTTTGCCGGACCACTTCTTCAGAACGCGCGCACCCTTTGTCATGATGAACACGACTAAAAATGCGAGACGCTCTACGTCCGGCACGAGTGAGCAGATCTCCTCGCTGAGAGATGGCGAGAGCATAGGGACGGAAGCTGCACAAGGTACACACTTGTAGCGCGATTGCGGGCATCGCGGTCAAGAGCGGTATTGGGCTTGACGAGCTACGAGACGTCCGAAATGTGAACACCGACGTCGTACGTCCAGTCCTCGTTGGAGGTAAGACGGTCACCGCCCAGATGCTTGCAAACTTCAAGGTCGCGCTCTGAGAGAGGCCACGACCGTCGGCGGCACGCATTCCATGACACTATTCGCAAAGTCCTCGTTGGAGTCCTTGGATAGCGCGCTGGTCTCAACCTCGACGTCGCCGATGAGGCCGAGCTTCTCAACTAGAGAACCGAAGGGGTGTAGGAAGTTGATCGGGTGACGCTTGATGGACGCGACGAATGGCGTATGCCTCAGAGTCTTGCACGAAGTCAGGCGGCGCCTGCTCGGTAGCGATGGCGATGTTTGGTACAGGCTTATCCGTGGGCTGGAACCAGACGATCTTCGGGCGCTTGATCGCGCGGCGGGCGTGTCGCCCTTGTCGCGCTCGCGCTCGTGGCGCCCAGCCTCCTGCTTCTTCTTGCTTGCTGCAGGACGATGGGCGAAGAAGTCCCGGAGTACCACTGCACCGCTGGCCCAACGACAACGACGTGACCGGCAAACTGGGTCCTGTTCCTCGAAAAGTATAAGACCCTGGCCGTTAACCTCGGCATCGTCCTTTTTCTTATCGTTCTTGCGACCGGCGGAGCGCAGGTTCCTCGTACGCGGTGATTTCTTCTTTCTTGCACTCCTTCTCCTCCTCCTCCTTTGTGCCCCAGACTTCGTGGACGTCAAGGAGTTGTACGGCAACAATATCACCCTCGAGAGCGCGGTTGCGGTCCTCGGATCCGCAGATGTAGATGGCCACGTACGTATGCGCCGGAGCGGTTGCTCTTGTGCATACGGAGAAAGCCGACGACGAGCTTTCCGGTGACAAGCAGAGGCGGGAGCGAAGCCGGAGGAAGGTGGGGACACCACCGTCTAAAATAGACAATAATCAGTGGCTGATCATCCCAACAAAGCAACGAAACAAACGCTAACTGCCATCGCCACGCGGGGCTTGACGAGAACGGTCACCGAGCGCAGCGGGAGGCATGAAACCGTCATCGAAGCTGTCGAAGCCACAGATGCTACCAAAGCCGCCAAGCTGACTTTTCGACGTCTTGACTGGCACTTCTTGCTCCGGGTTATCGCAAGCCCCTAACTTGCCTGAAAAGATGCTGGCGGTAAACGTTTTCCCCGAGTTTGCGCTCGCGCATAGCGGGCGGGTGGCCGCCGCGCTTCTCCGGTG